GACCTTGATGAATTTTTAGGTTCATACTCATATGCATTAGAAATGTGGATTATCCCTTCTACATTAGTTAATCAACCATCTATGGCTTCAAACCTAGTCAGAATAGCCTCATGAGTCTTTTGGAATTGCCCTATATTGATTATGTGTAGAATGTGCTTAGTAATCCCTACCTAAGCATTTGGTCATTAATAATTAGATCTTCAATTTTTTTTTTAAATCTCACTTTTTCTCTGTCTAGCTCCTCAATAGTAATGCATTGATACCAGTAGATAGAAAATTTGAATAACCAAATAAAATATTAAAATTAATATTAAATCCTTACATGCCAAACATAATAGTAATACTCAATTGCATTTTGAATTAACCAAAGAATCTTTGGTTGTTTTGAACCAATCCAAAGACAAAGGGCTTAGTCGCATTATGGATCAAGTTGAAATATTTTACTTTCGAATTGAGCGAAAGAAATAAGCTTTTCATGTTCCCAAGACAATTACTATTCATTGTGTGGCCAAAATAAAGTTCTCAATAAAGAAAGAAACATGAAAAACTATGAATGCTAAGGAAGCTATAATATTAATATAGTATGCAAATGCCTAGACCAGATGATACTCTAATTCTAATTGATGCAAGGTATGCCTTATATAGAGGGTGGCAACCCAATATCTTGTATTAAAAAATTAAAAGAAAATGAAAAAAAATGAATACCTAGTGTGATAATAAAGTTCTTTATGAAAAATACAAAACTATTTAAATATCCTTCCTAAAAAATATTATAATTACTTGTAAAGATGCATTTTAATATATCCAAACCCATGAACATGATATTTGTATTTTATTTTCTTAACTTTTCGATAAGTCTAACATAAAAAAAGTATAGTATTGAGCTAATAACTATTGAAGTGGTGTAAATCATAGCTTTTCAATAAATCCAAGATCAACAAAAACATAGTACTTAACTAATAACTATTGATGTGGTGTAAAAGAGTTTGGACTTAAAAAAATTATTGAATAGAGATTGGAGAAGCTAAAGCTGCTAATTATATCATGATGATGAAATACAAAAAATGAATATCATCTAAAACTTTAGTACAAGGCACCTCTCATATAAGATAGGATTTAAATGAGCATGAATGTTGGTACAAACCATGTTAATCCAACTAAAAATCTGTTATCTTTAAGGTGTTTGCACCAAAGTAATATTACTAATAATATAGAGTTTGGACAACACTATAAAACACATGATTATATATGGGGTAACACTAGGGTGTGTCATTTAACTTCTTGCCAAAGAAAGTAATTGAATATCCCTCCTATTTAAGGACTTTTTTTATATCAACTCCATAAAAATCACATGATACCTCACACATTATTAAATATTTGTAACTTTAACTCATGTGAATATATTAAAAGCTCCTCAACCTTAGAGAATGCATCATTTATTATTTTTGTATGATAAAATTATCCTTTATTAAAATGGTGGGTTATTGGAGCCAAAATAGTGTTGAAACTATGAATAAACCTCTAATAGATGGTGGCTAACTCATTAAAACTGCAAGCATAATATATTATAGTTATGGCAAAACATATAAATGACCCTAACTATCTCAGAATTTGTAGAGATGCTATAACAATAAATGATTAATCACAAGAAAATCATTGAAGTGGTTATAAATAAGAACTTCTTTAAATAAATATATATTTTTTCCTAGTGAAGCACCTCCAAAATCTTTCACAGGTTGATGTGCATAATCGCATTGAGTCTGACAAAAAAAATAGAATATAATCGAATTATATGATTAGTCCAAACAAAGATAAACTTGGGGAATTGGATAAGCTGCATATCATTATCAACTATTCATCTAGGCCATTTTTATCTTGAAGGTCAGTTTTCATTTATCTCTTTCTCGCTTGTAAATCTAATAGTATCTGAAACTACAATATAGCTTAGAGATAATCATTACACAAGCCATGATATCTAGCATTTTATTAAGTCGAGGTATATGAAACAAATGTTTTTTTAATAATGATTTTATTATAGACATGAGCATCTATGTGTCATACTAGATAACATCCTTCTTAGGGGTATGAAAATCAATGACTATGCATATAAATAAACTCTCTCAAATAAAACTTGTAAATGATAATTCACTGACCTATCATTTGAGCTTTGCATCCTCATATGAGCTCTTATTATAATGAGGTAGATTAGTGAAAAAGGGATATTGAATCAACACTATGATATATTAGATATGAAGGGGAAGCTCACATAGGAGTTCTCAAGCCAATATTTTGAAACTCATATAGAAGTCTCTTTTTCTTAAATGGGAGGGATTCAATAGTGAGTTAGCTTATGATAGTCAAGACTACTAGGTACATATGATATTACCACCAAATTCATGTTGACTAAGAATATGAAGTGATTTATATTTTGTTAGGTAAAGGAATATCAAAGCTATTACAATTCGGACCAACCTCTTTAGGTTTACTAGAATTATTAGTCTATTCCCCTAACTAAATAGCAATTAAGAGATGGATATAAATGTTATTGATATGAGTTACCTTATATGCTTATGCGTGAGGCTCGAGGGTGAGATTTTTTTAAAAAAAATAAAATATAAATAATAATATTCATACAACTACCACTGTCAATAATCAATTTATAAGACTTGTGAGCACTCTTAACATAATTATGAAATGTTAATTTGCACCTTTAGTTAGTATTAGCTCATGGGGTGGCCACTATATAATGCATTATAATAATATAAGGCCTATGTAGTGCTTCTTTAGCATTGTTAGCATCCTTATAAAAATCCATCAAAACTTGTTCATTCATATTCTTATTAAGGTAATCCACACCCTCAAACTCTATGTATAGACTTTATTAAGAGGAAAATCTTATATTGTGGGCAGTCTTGTTGCATGTTAAGTAACTAAGGATGGAATTTATGAAGCTACAGTTTTAGGTTAAGTAATAGTTTAATAGTTTATATTAATAAAGTCTACTTAAAAGTTTGTTGCTCTTGCATACAATCAAAATAATAGTTTATATTAACAAAATAATAAAGAAACAGTTTTAGGTTAAGTAGAAAATCAAAGTAGGTGGGATATACACTACTTTGATACACACAGGATCTTGATATACATGTTGTGAATTAACATAACATTGATCTATATTCCATACTATATAATGGATCTCTATAGTGTTGAGTGCAACACTTACGATGAGCTCATACAGCATAGTCAACATCTCTTCCTTGTTTTCATCCAACTGTATAGGGAGGATGAAGGATATATTACCCTTCCATGTAAATCGCTAAAGTTTTTCATAGGATATGGGCGAGAAGGAGGGGTGTCAATTCGGGTCAACGGGTCGAGTTGAATCGAGCATAAACAGGTTGACCTGAACCTGACCCGTTTAGCTAAACGGGTCATTATTTTTAACCCGGACCCGACCCACACATGTTATCGGGTTGACCCGACCCGACTCGATAACCCGTGAAAGCAGTTGCCGGACGTGTAGCAGTGTCAGGCCTATAAAACGTGGACGTTGGCGCTGGGCGACTTGGCGAGGTCGACTGCTCGAGGTGGAGTGACCTGCGTGGTTGTCTTGGGTCAAACCGACGAACCCTAGTGCGATCGAGGTCTAGCGAAGGAGCAATCTTCCGGTCTGCGACTGAGAGGATGCATGGCCGCGACAATGTGGCTTGGCGACTGGCAAGGCGGAGCAGCGGAGCGACGGAGACACGGAGTCGTCATTACGTGATGACAACTACGTGAGTAACACAACGTTGCTTCTGCTAGACGCGACGGCATGCGTCACCTAACGAACTCGAAAGTGGCACAAAGCTGTCATGACGGGACAGATCAAACTTTTGGGTCAATCAGGTTGACCTGTGAGGTCGACCTGTGGGTTGTCGGGTTGACCCGAACCCAACCCGATTTTCAAACGAGTCAAAAATTTGAACCTGAAACCAACCCGTTTCGCAAACGGGTTGACATGAACCTGGATTTTTTCTGGTCGGGTTTTGGTTTGTGTCAAAAATTGACACCCCTAGCAAGAAGGATGCTAGCAAGATTTGGTAAGGGGGTTTGGAGGGTGAGGATGAGGAAGTGGAATGAGATAAATGGGATGTCTTTCACCTTCCTCAAGTTGGTGCTTAAGAATTATATTTAGCTTTAATTGGTGGTGTTGCCTCACCATAATATGTCCTAATGTCATGAATCTTTTTTAAAATTCATTATAAATTTGTTAATGCATAATGACATGTTTTCCTATTTTATTAAATGAAAAAGCACAAGGATCATCATATCTTTGTTTTAAAATTTGCTCTTGGTACCCATCTAGGTACCTATGCTCACTACATTTTTTTACTATATATATATATATATATATATATAGTATTTATTATTTTCTTTTGAGTTTTGACATTTTTTGAGGGTCCAAATAGTCAAATTCATGAAAATGTTCTTCTAGAAAGTTATACACATTAGTTAATTCACACAATAATTTAAACGCTCGTTAAGAAATAAGCGCACATGACAACTACACTAGAATTCTTTTCCTGCTAGGACATTCAACTTACACATAATTTACAATTATAAGATCAGAACTTTTCATTCTACAAAATATTATTAGAGATATTCGTAATATCAAAAAATAAAAAAACACACAACAAAATTTGATCTATGATAAGATAGCTATGATTCAGCATCCAAAAATTTCCAAAAAACATGTATTAGATATATGAATTTTGAATGTATTTGATAATTTTAATAGATAAATCATATGTGAAACCAGACTACCACAAATATAAGACTTGTATGCCTTCCAACCTTCCAATTATTCTAAGAAAAACAATTTATTAAATTCATTATTTAATTAAATATTAATTTCAAACTCCATTAAATATTCTCAAAAATCTTAAAAAATTTATTTGCACCCTCAACATAAATAAAAATAAAATAATATTTTTCTATAACAAAATTACTATTTAGAAGCAACTAATCAAGACTTATTTATCATCACTGCCAAGCGCACAAATGATTAAACAAGTAAATAAAGCATGCATTCCAGTTAGTGATAGTCAACACAAACACAGCTAGTGAGATGAAGTACTACTAAGCATAACAATAATAAAGCTTTTGTCGAAACATAGTAAAGAGAAGTGAGCAAATAGGTTGATTTAAGCATAAAGAAGCAATTGTTATTTCTTCCCACCGCTCTTCTTGAGCCCAGCCCCTCCAAAAGTACCCTTCTGGGAAGCCTTGGCCTTCAAGTCCTTCAGTGCCTGTATCAAAAAACAAAGAAGAATATTCAATCTTTTAGAACTCGAGTTATTTGAATTATCAAAAGGTTCATATAAAAATATACCTTCTCCTCATCTTTCTTCTTCTGGAGATGAGCAAGGTCGTCCTGAAAGACATGGAGGGCAAGTTAACAGTAAGGTCACTGAAACTGCCCCAAATACAAAGTAAAGAAATCATGGAAAGTAGTTTTATCCAGAGAGTTGGAATAAGACTATCCTGCGGTAATTTACAACTCCTTTTTGACACTTCTGGCTATAGATGATTGGAAGCAAGTTTGCATCTTGAAATTTAGGCTTCATTTGGGATAATTTTTTTATTGCTTTCTACATAAGCTTTTTGGTATAAAAATTTATTAAATACAGTGAAAAAATAGTGGTCAAAAGCTGTCCCATAAAAAATCTTAGGCTTTGTTTGGGACGGCTTACTTTCTGCTTCTCAAAGCACCTTTTTAGTACAAAATTAAACATTTTTATACTATAAAACTGTTTTAAGAAGCAGAAAAAAAACTATCACAAACGAAACCTTAGACTTCATTTGGGATGGCTTTCTTTATGCTTCTTAAAGCAGCTTTTTAGTACAAAAATTTTGAAGGCTTCTTTAAGAAGCAATAAGATAGCCATCCCAAATGAAACCTTGGTCTAAAAAAAAAAAGAAATGAGTTTGATTCTTAGATCTTTCAAAATCTCTTCCAATATTAGTGTTAGTTTCTAGAATAAACTACAATCACGAGAGCGTGTATCTTACTTGCAAACAGTTTAAAGGGAATTAAAAACAGTATGAATGTTATAGAGAGAAATAAGAGTACTACCTTGATACGTGAACAATTATAAAATAATATTATGTAAGCCAAATTAAAGCAATAACTTCTGATGATTTGAATAGTTGTTAGCTATTAAGAAAAGAAAAAATAAGATATATAAAATGCCTCGAAGGAAAACAAATGAGATAAAAAGATCTTGTTTAACTTAGATGTATTAAAAGTGAAGAGTGCAAAGCTCGAGCTAAAACTAAGCTATAAAAGAAAATTATTAATTTCAAGAAATCATTATATGAGTTTTCATAAAAAAATAAAAAATAAAAAAGAATTAAGCCATGGGTTGGATAATTAAAAGAATATGCATAAGCATATAAAGCTATAGTTCAAGAGAGAAGTCATTGGAGATTCAAATAGTTATAGGAAGCATTCTAGTAGTTTGATTAAGAAACTTATTTAATGGTAATCATAGGAGTATATCCTATAGCACACCAAAATGAGATATTTGAGTAGGAGAGTATCTCCTATTGTTCAGCACAATCTCTGAAGAATATGACTAAAAATAAAGCTATACTACACAAAACATAATTGAGATTCACAGAGTAAATAGAAAATATTCAAGTAGCTTGTTAAAAAAATTTCGTTAATGGCAGGCATAGAAAACCATCTGCAGTAGCTCTCTGAATTGGCATCCTCTTAGTTATTAGGAATTCATTAAATGGTTTTGTTAATCAATCTATCCAAATATCTGCTATAATTTTATTTCAATTGCATCTCTCTAAATTACTCCGTTATGTTTATGCATATTCTTCAAGTTAATCATACAAAGGGAGGAAGGAAAATGGAAAAACCATGTTAGAACTCGCACAAAAAAAAAATAGCATCAGAAGTTAGAAAAGTAGGATTAGGCACGAGAGGAAGTTACCCCCTGTCAATACAGTTATATATGGTTCACACCGATGCTCAAGTTGCAACCAAAGCTAATGCTTAAATTTCATTATCCTACAATTATCACAATCTCGAACATTTTTGTTCTTAAAGAATGAGATTTCAGTGAAATTTAAAATATGGGAGAAACTTTTGGAACTAAAAAGGCTTAATATTACTAGAACAAATATTGAATACATTATATGAGATTTTCACAGATGTAATATTGATAATATTAGACAATATTAGTTGGAAAATCAAGAAGAATTCATGTGTGATTTGTATTTTGGATCTTTCATATGAAATAGTGAAGATGTGAGAATATAACTAGTAAAATTTAATGTTGATGGTTAAGGTTGAGTTCACATAGAATTACGATTAGTTCAGTGATGCTTTATAAATATGGGTGTTGAGAAAACACTGACAGCAATGTTATAAGGAAAAAAAAAGCAAATTTTAAGATAGTTGCATGATGAGTATGAAAGATAAAATGAGATATGATTATAGATGTAAAACCCGAAAATGTCAAACCGTAGTGTCGCGACGTGTTGCGACGCACCAATGCGAAAATAGGCGAATTTACAAAGTTGTCGGAATTCGATGAAATATTTTTTTTTAAATTCTACACAAAATTTCGAGCGATTTAATATTAAGGACTTAGAGCTAATTTTGGTTAGATTTGAAATTAAAAAATCGGCGAAGTCTACTTAAAGATGAATGACTAAATAACCCTTTCTGATTCTTAAGAGACTTTTTGCATGTGAGGGCACATGCATCATTTCCCTTACCCCACTGCCCAAATAAGCTCAAAGGGACTGAAAACTTTCGGTCCCTTCATTCTTTTGCTCGGCCGAAAGAAGGAGAGGGAGAGGGCGGCGGGAGCAAGATTGGGGCAGGCGGCAACTGCGTTTTTCCGGCGAAAGTTTTGGGAGGGAATTGAAGGAGGAAACCTAAGGAAGAAGAAGGCGAGTTCCTAAATAAATAAAAAAATCTCTTCGTTCACTTTTTTTTCAAATCTCTTCGTTTCACTTAGATTTTTATGTTGAAAATTCTAGGGTTTCTTCAAAACTAAGAATTTTTCAATCATATTGATAGGGAAAACTTGGAGAAGGATTTTAACCATGAAAATTTAATTTTTTCCAAAAAAATTTAGGTTTCTAAAAATTATGGTTTTCTCCAATTTCAATTTTCTTTCAAATTGCTTTCAAAAAAATGGTTTCTATCAATATTAGAAATATTCTTATAGGTTTAAACTAAAATTTCATGAAAAATTTTTACGCTTTAAAATTTGAATTTTTTTTTTATTTTTATTCTGAAATTTGATTTCTTTGAAAAGATGTTCACAAATTGTATTCCTAGTGACCTCAGGAATAGTCTAATGAGATAAAATCAAAGTTTTGTATAAAAACTATATTTTTTCTAATTTTGAATTAAAGAAATTCAAATATTAAATTAAATTAAAATAAAGTCTAGCTAGGTTAAGGGGATGTCTTTGCATGTTCATGGAAAAATAATAATGAATTTTGGGTTTCCAATTTTGGTGTTTTTTTACGGAAAATTAAAATACATTAGAATCCTATAAAAATTGAGAATCAAATGAAGGGAGTGCATTATTGAATATAAACCTTTTGAGATAATGATAGTCTTTTCTCTTAGGTTTTGAAAAGGCAAGTGATAAGGAAAGATCGTCGCAAGGTTACACGATGATTTACATGCATTCTGATATTTGTTTGCTTGTTTTGAGGTAGATACATTTAACTCTTTCAAGTTCAATATATATTTTTATTCTTTTAAAAGTTAACATTGTAATATGTTTTAGCATTAGAATAGCATGTTAATTATTTTATTCTAAATAAAAATAATACATTGGTATGTTTAGAATAATTATTGACTTATTTAGTGTATTTAGAAAGTTTCATATTTTAACTCAAAAAGAATGTTAATGTAGCCTTGCATAAAAATATAATAGTTAGAAGCATATAATTGATATGTATGTTAATCACCTATTTTAAGATAGTTATTGCATGTTGAATTGTGCATATTGAGGCGGAGTACCAATATGATGTATTGATACAATATGACTCTTCAGAACAATATGGCAATTCGGGGCAATATAATAAAAAAAATGATATGGACAATATGTATGGGTAATTGATCAGTACAATTTCAATACTCTAGTATGAGTGTATAAAAAACGAATAAAATAAATATATATGTATATTGAAAATATAGATAAGTTGAAAGGCATAAAATGAAAGAAGTATTAAACATATGAAATGTAAAATGATTATAGGAAGTCATATAGATATAAGTGCACAGGCTACCTTTGCATGACACTGTATTATTTAATTCTTTAGTTACATGTTTAGTATCATATTGAAGCATGTATATTGATCTTCATTACATTGCAATTGCAATTAGTAGAGTTACTTGATACATGATGAGCATTAGCTCACTCTGTAGTTTTGAGTTATTTTCAAAAAAAAAAACCCGCAATCAATAATGACTAACAGACAGTCATTCACCTACTGTCGTAGGGAGACGCATCTTTTTGTTATTTTGATGTTTTGTAATAGATGAACATAAGATGGCATGTGTTAGAGGGGCATTTATTTTTGTAATAAATTTTTATATACATATTTATAAATGAAAGAAAATATTTTTTGGAAATGGGTGACTATTCTTAATTCAATTTTGGATAATTACACTATCATGTTCCATTGAAATGTTTCAAATTTTTCGTCCGACATCCATTCCCACCTCATTCGCATGAGCTTACAGGGTCGGGTCCTGACAAAAGTTGTATCAAAGCGAAATTTAAAATTCTGATCAATTGAAAGAGCTATTAAGATGATATTATAAATCATATAATATAGAAGATGCATGTTTCGTGAAACTATTAAATTGTTGTATTGTTTAATTTTCTTAGGGCTATGAATCCTAATCGAGATGTCATTGATGGCTATACTAAGTAGAATAGGAGGGAGGTTCCAATTGTCTCAGCAGTAGCACAACCTCTGAGTGGTGGCAATAGTACTATCATAGACACATTCACCCAAATGATGGTGGATGTGACGCAGTTGACTCAGCACTCTTAGTATCAGTTACAGACTTATAGTCTAGCTCTAGGGGCGAATCATCTGTAGACAAGCATTTGAAGCTCTTTCAAGACATGCAACCGCCTCTTTTTGCAGGAGCAGGAGAGCCAGTTGACGCTGAAAATTGGCTCATGAGGATCAAGAAGATTTTGGATGGTATGCACTATATATCTAACTGATCGGAGGGTGACTCTAGCTACCTTTGCCTTGGATGGAGAGGTTGAAAGGTGGTGGAGAGGACAACTTTTGAAAAAGATTCATGGCAGGACAACATCTCAGGTCTTATGGGAGGAGTTTGTTAGGGTCTTCAGAGATTGGTTTGTACAT